GAAAGGGAGCTGAACAGTACCTTTGAGCCGCACAGATGGATGAGGGCCATGTCATTAGTAAAAAAAGCCACACACTGCCTAGACCACGTAGAAGCGGCCTACAAGTTATGGCTTCGATGGTACTATACGCCTCAACGGCTGGCCGAAATATACCCGGGCTCCCGGGCAACGTGCTGGCGCTGTAACCAACAAGAAGACACCCTAAGCCATATATTCTGGTACTGCCCTGCACTCAGCCAATACTGGCAACAAATCCAAGACCTGATAAAACTCAGAGTAGGGATAGACCTACCACCTGCCCCTGAACATTACCTGCTCCATATGATGCCACCCGAAATAACAGCCCACGAGGCCTCACTGATCACCCACATCACGCTTGCTGCAAAGCAACGAATAGCTGCCCTATGGAAATCCACCTTAGCACCAGACATACAGTCGGTAATTACCAAAGTGAATCTCACCCAACAGTATGAGGAAATGTCGCACACGATTAGTGGTACCCTACTGAAGTATAAGGGCATTTGGTCCAAATGGTAGATGACCGTGACAGCATGGCGACGAACACCTCCCTCTAATACACATGTATAGGGGAGCATCCCGAAACCCCCCCCCCCTCTTTTTTCCCCCTAGTTCCCGACATCTCCCACCTACTTCCATCCTCCCCCCCCCCCTTTTTTTCTTCTTGAGAAATCAAGGGTTATAGCCACGTTGGCAAACCTCTCAACTCTGAGGAAACCAGTAGAGCAATTACGGAATAACAGCCTATGGAGCTGTTGTATATGTGGCACCCTGAAGCATCGCTTGAATAATTAGGTAACTGGAAATCAGTTGCCACTCAGATCTGTTACTGTACCCGTTTCTTACGGCTCCAATGTATTAGATCCTACTGTGTAATACTAAGATGTTGAACCCTCAATAAAAATGATATATATAAAAAAAAAAATCCTCTATTTGAGAGCAATTCCTTCTCAATCTTAAAAATTGACTTTTTGGTGCACTTTCCAGCCATGGTTTGTAGTGGCAACTTGAGCGGTCAATGGCTGTATTTGTGCATACTTTTTTAAAAAAGGTTTTGGTATTTAAAATATCATTTTTGATAAAAATTTCCAGATCTAAAAAGTTAATGGTAGTTTTACTGTATTCGTAAGTTAAAATGATGCCTCTGTTGTTACAATTAAGATGGTTAATAAATAATTTTAAAGAATCTTCTGAACCGTTCCAAATAAAAAAGAGGTCATCTATGTATCTAAAGTATGTGATCAGGTTCGTCCGCCATGTATGCTCGCCCCAAATGGCAGTGGATTCCCAATCTGCCATAAAGAGGTTGGCATAACTGGGGGCGAACCTGGTTCCCATAGCCGTACCTCGTTTTTGTAGATAAAAGTAATTAAAAAACCAAAAATAATTGTTCTTTAAAATTATATTAATACCTTCAATAATAAAATCAATTTGAGTATTTGAGATTCTATTTTCTTGTGTGAGGATATTACGCACTGCGTTGCACCCTATGTCATGGGGAATGATTGTGTATAGAGACTGGACATCGCAAGTGACTAAAATAAAATTGGGTTGCCAGTTAAAATTGTTTAAAAATCTTAAGAGAGTCATGGAATCTTTCAGATAGGACCTCATAAGCTTGACAGAGGGTTGGAGAAGAGTATCAATATACTGTGATAAATTCCTTAAGAGTGAGCCTATCCCAGACACAATGGGTCTACCTGGTGGGTTGGTTGTATCTTTGTGAATTTTTGGTAGAAAATAAATTACTGGAATTTTTGGATATTGGATGTTTAAGAAATTAACTTCTTGTTTGCTTAAAATATTAAGATCTGCACCTTTTTTAAAAAACGTTGAAAAAGTCTCTTTTATATTGGCAGTTGGATCTGATAATAATTTTTCGTAAACTTGAGTGTCATTGAGTTGTCGATTGGCTTCCTCAATGTACATAGTACTGGATAGAATAACCAGGCCTCCCCCTTTGTCTGCTGGTTTAACTACTATGGTCTTATCATCCTGTAGTTGTTTGATTGCTACTCTTTCACTTTGTGTTAGGTTATGAGTGTCGAATTTGGTAGGTTTGATTCTTTCTAAGTCTTGTATGACAAGTTTCTCAAACATGACAAGCGGTGCAGATTTGCAGTGAGCGGGACAAAATTTGGATTTTTCTTTTAAATTGGTATTACTAATTTTGGCCTCTTGTTGTGAGGGGGAAATGGGAGTGAAAGGTGGGTTAGTAGAAGAATTATAGTCATTAAAAAATCTCTTAAGGGTGGCTTTTCGTACAAATTTGTTGATGTCTAGATAAGCTTCAAAGGGTTTAAAAGAGTGTGTGGGAGCGAATTTAAGACCTTTGGTTAAAACAGAAATTTGTGCTGAAGTTAAAATTTTTTGGGATAGGTTAAAAATGCCACCTTCTTTTTCGGTTTGAGGATTTATAATCTTTCCAGTCTCTCTCTTTTGTGATCGTCTTCCACCTCGCTTTCCTCTAAACTTAGATTTCTTTTCTTTGCCCTTGAAGGGTAAGGTGTCAGTGTGCATGTGTTGTGGTGGGTTTGAATGTCTAAAAAATGTTCTTCATTCTCAATTTCAGAGTCTATTGATAGTAATTGGTATCTGTTCGGGTGTTGGTAAGTGATAGGAGATTTGGAATGGTTGAGGTATTCATTACTTTTTTGGTTGGTGAATCTGGTTCTTTGGGGCTTAGGTGATGCTGGTTTAGTGGTAGGACTGGGTACATTATAATAGTCAGATGGATGAAAAATCAATTCACAGAAAAAAACTACCCAATAGAGAACCTTAATAATACTATAGAATTAGTTAGAGCTAAAGAAAGAATAGAACTTTTAAATTACAAAGAAAAAACCACTGATAATCACCTTAACCTTCCGATTATCTTCAATTTTAACAACAAAAGTAACCAAGTTAAAAAAATTATTAAAAAACACTGGCACTTATTACAACATGACGATACTCTTAAAAAAATCATACCAGAAAGACCAAATATTGTTTTTAGAGGAGCCCCTAGGTTGAAATCTATTTTAACCTCCAACTACACAAAAGAGAACAAAAAAAAGCCACAAACCTGTTTTTTACCTAATATCAAAGGGTTCTTTAAATGTAAACACTGTAAAGTATGCAAATGTACAGATCAGTCGATTAAAACCAAAACCACACACTTTCAGTCTAATAAAACTAACACAATATATAATATTAAGGATTTTATTACATGTACTACAAAGAATGTAATTTACCTCCTAGAATGCCCATGTGGATTACAATACGTGGGTATGACCACAAGAAGTCTTAAAACACGCTTAGGTGAACATTGCCGGAATATTATTAATGGATACCAGAATCATACGGTATCTAAACATTTTATCATTCATAATAAGGATCCTGGTCTCTTAAAATGTATTGGCATAAAAAAATGCACTATTCCATGGAGAGGAGGTAACATCAAAAATATTTTAGGAAAATGTGAATTGGAATGGGTCTTTAATTTAAAAACATTGGTCCCAAATGGTTTAAATGCAGACTTTGATTTATTTAATTTTATTTAAATATCTCACCAATTTTTTTATTTTATCTTGTTTACATTATTTTAACATATACTAATATGTTTTATGTGCTTATGCTTTTATTATTTTAATACTAGCATCTTACATATGTATATGTTTTACTATTTCCATTATGTTTTATTATTTCTATTTTGTCTTTTGTATATATGTGCCACCTCTAACATGGCCACCTATTTAATTGTTCTCCCAGCCTATATTCCCCTCCCAAGATGGCCGCCGCTATTATGTTTATATTAGTTCTTTCCCCTGTGGTTTTAAACCACTCCCCCCTTCCCTACAGCATATTCATTGTGCCTGACATGTAGTCTAATTACAGACTACATGTCCCACAATCCTCTGCGGCCGGAAGTGACGTCGCGCCCGGTACGCGCGTCACGTGCCCCTCCCTAGTGTGTCCTTCGCTCCCTCCCACCTTGTAAGCCCAATGTTGGGCTCTATTTGCTCCAGAGACATGTAGTCTAGCCATAGACTACATGTCCCATGATCTCGCCGAACCGGAAGTGACGTCGCGCCAATGACGCGCGTCACAGGGTCCGGTTTTAAAATGTAAAAACAAAGCAATAAATGCTCGTTTTGATAAAAAACCTATGTTATTAGCACTATATAAGTTATATAAACCTAATTTTTATTAAGAAATGTTGTTATGAAAGTGCAAAAAAGATTTGTCAAACTATTGGTTGTACAATTTTGGCGCCAATTTTAACATTATTTTATACCTATATAAACCCTAACCAGCCAGGTAGAACTGTTTGTTATCCATTGATAAAGCCTTATATTGGTGAAACGCGTTTGGATATTTTTTACTATTTTATATATTGTTAATAAAAGATTTTAGTCATTTTTACGTTTATACCATCATCTTTTCTATTACCTGGCTATTTTATAAACTTTTTATTTACATTTTACCTCTTTTATTATTTTTAAAGTCCTGTACACCATACTCCAAGAATCCCAGGTGGGGATTATACCACCTACGCTGTTACATAGAGCAGTCAGTCTGCCCTATACATTGTGAGTATATTTTATTACTTTATTTTATCAATTAAGATTTTATTTTTTTTTTTTTTAATTCTTTATTTTATTTGACAAAGTATTATAGAACAAGGCAAGATGTTCCGGTTTAAGCATAAACCGTGGTCAAGTATAACATAACATATTACAGCACAGGCATACAGTTGATAAGCGTGGTAGACATCTTATGTTACAATAAGTGCCTGTAGCACAGGACTCTTTATTAGGGGGCTTGGACATCACTTTTGTGCTGTCAATTTTTTATTGTATATTGAGTCAGTTACAGGTGGCCAGAGCGTGAAGGTGGGTTTCTGTAGGCATTCGGTGGTGCCTATCCTAGCGCTATTGGAGGGTTTCGGGGTACCGTTGGGCGATAAGATATCTCTTAATGATGCTGTGGAGTCTCCAACTATGTTAAATACAGGTGACGGCCCTTCTGACTTGTTCCAGCTGCAAATTGTCCCCTGTATTGTGGAGCCCGCGTTCAACTCCTGCTTTGTACTAGATAAAACTGAAATACATTTTGGCCTGACTGGGCCCCCCTCCACTCCCTGGCGCCTACCTGCCTGGCGTGTGAATTCGTGCGTGTTTGCGCTGATAGTTCGCTTCAGTGTGCTATCATTGCCTGCGTGTGCTTAATGTGTATATTGTATCAAGCGGGCCCTCGTCTAAGGCGAGGACCCGGGTAAGAAGATAAGAGAAAGGTAGAGTGAAGATAGAAAGGAGGGTGGGGGGGTGGGTGGACCAGGCGCCCGGGCAGGCGGGGGGAGCCCAAGGGGACGGGGGGGGGGGAAGAAGGAGGCGGGGAGAGGGCGGCGGGAAGGGGGGAGGGCACCAAGCAGACTAGCATCTTCCACCTCTCGGACCCCCCGGGCCGCGGCCCCGCCAAGCGCAAGGACGGTTACTCCGCCAGGGGGCAGTCCTTCCAGCGTCCCCACGTCCTTTCGA